AAAGAAGACGGCCGCAGCTAATTTGGCCTCGTCAGGATGCTGCCTATGTGAAGGTTGGTCCATGCTTGGAGGACTCAAAATCAGCCGATTTATGAGCTAAACCGTAAAATGGAAGTGATTTGAATCGCAGGCCACTTGCAGCTTTGGGACTTATCAGCGTGAAAACGACCTTGAAGAGGCTCATAAGAACGGACCAGTAGAATGCACCCTAATCTGGCCATTTCTGACCTTGGAAGTACCAGTAAAGACTCGAGGCTGACAAGAAAAAATAGTCTTCCTGAATAAATCAACAATTGTGGCTTATCTGAATCTGACTCCCCGGTTGGCCTCGAAACAGGACGACTTGTCAATTTCTCCTGGGAAATGTGTAAACTAAGGAAAAGCTTTGTCTATTGCACCCCCACCCCAGCCCCCTCTTCTGTGGAGGCCTATCAGGACTGTGCCGGCTGACCATTATCTTATCAGGACAATGCTGTTAGTTAATGTTAGTGCTTCATGGACCGCCTCGTCGTCAAATGCATATGTAACGTGTTCATAAATGTGCTTGCTGGCAGAGTTTTTTTTGAAGTCTTAAATCGTGTCCTGTTAGGACAAGGTGTGAAGAGATCTTTTTTTTTTGTAATGTCCTCATGGCCTTGTCCCTTTTTTCTATCTAAAAAAAAAGTATTCTGAAAAGGATAAGGCGGCTGCGCTATATAGCAGCAGCTACGTGCACTCTGTCCATCTTTCGGATGACTGTACGGACATATTCTCGTTGTATCTCGGTGCAATGATAATAAAACTTATCCTGATTCAGATTAACTCTGATCCATCAAACATAAAAAGTGAGGGAAGATTTTATGGTTCTGAAGCTGAGTCCATAACAAATCAACTTACTTTTTTTAAGTGTTTATTTTTTGTCCATCTGATTGATTCCACCTCTCGTTAAAGCAGCAGGGTGGTTCATGTCTGTACTGATAAAATGAGGTGAGCAGGACGTGGAATGGATGAGGGGGAGTCAGCACGTGGAAGATGGGTTTCTTGTGGGCAATGTGACAGTTGAGGAGGTAGAGTGGGAAAACAAGACCTAAATGCTTTAGTTTGGGCTCTGCTGTTAAAGAAGAGCGAGGTTGAGTGTTTTCTGTGTTTTTCATAACTTTTTATTTGTACAGCACAAATATAAAATGTAGTACATAACCGGATCTAGATGAAAAAGGTACAACTGCAGTTAGAAATCAAAAGAGGATAAAAGATGCGCTTTCAGCATGCACAATGAGTGGTTGCTCTTTCTTTTCCATCATACTCAATCATACAGCTGGAGCGGCCTTGTAGATACACCGAGTCTGTTATCCAAAGCAATAATCTTTTCCTGCTCAAATTAAACTGTCTAAAAAATTACTTCTGTGAGTGCTGATGTGACAAGGCCAGGCAAGGAGAAAGTAACTTGACTAGGATTGATGCAGATTATTCATTGCTTTCTGTTCTGTTCAGGCAGGATAGAAGGGAAACAAACTACATACCCCAAACAAGAAGTGGATTGTTTGGATCTTGCTGTGCTGGCATGATGGTGCCCGTGGATAATGAAGTTACAGTGAGCATGTGGTGATGACAGAGCAACTGCAGGCTGGAGTTGGACTACAAGAGCTGATGGAAGGCAGAATCTATGAAAATAACTGTTGGATATAAAATTTGAATAGGTATGGGTGAGGGATGGAGCGCTGCCAGGACAGGTCTACTGACAATACATCCAAATATTGGTCATGGACTGGCAGAACAGAATTTTAAACCATTTTTAGATTGAATGACCTACTTTAGGTTTAAAATTGTAACCTAGAATTTGTTATGTATTTTACTCCCAACGAAAATCCTCCTGAACTTGTAGAAGTGTTCTTTGAGAGAACGACGTTTGGAGTTGGGTTCAACACAATAACAGAAGCATTTTTTCCCCAGTTTCCCCACAAACTAGGTCAGTAGAATAAACGCCCGACTTAATATTCCACAAACTCTTTATACCTGCGTGTTTTCCTCACTGAGCTTGAGGGGCTGTCACAGCCATTACCAGTTCTTTGCATCTGACTTGAGCTGTTCGCTTTAGAACTTTGGAAAGATGGAGAAATCCTTTTTGAAGTAAACATTTCAGATTTCTTTCTCCAACTGCAGCACAGCAGTGATGATGATCACATGTACAACATGTACTGTTCTTTATATTTGCATACTCTGCACACTCTTCTCATGCTTGTTTTGTTACAAACTGTCTATTTTTATCATTCATCATCTTATCCTGGATTAAACTCGGCGCTGTCAGCAATGTCTTTCGTATGAGTGGGAAGTGGTTATCTCGGTGTAAGATGTGTTCCCCACTGTTTGTATCATTTGGAGTTTGTGTTGCGTTAAGTGGCGAGTTCTTGTCAGGACTATTACTCAGGAATAATAACTTTATTACTTTCATAAAGACCTGATTCCCAGTGGATGTACCGAAAATTTAATTCAGTTTATTTATATAGCGCCAAGTCACAACAGAAGTTGTCTCAGGGCACTGTACAAAAATATTCACATGCATTAAGAAAGTCAATTAGTAAAAGTTTTTTTTTAATCTAAGGAAGCCAGCAGATTGCACTGAATCTTCACTTTCTCACAGTCTTCCATCCTGAGCAAACACAAAGGCAACAGTGGAAAGGAAAAACTCCCTTTTAACAGGAAGAAACCTCCAGCAGAACCAGGCTCAGGACAAGTGGTCATCTGCTTCGACCAGCTGGGTTTGAGAGGATAGGAATTAGAAACAAATAAACTAAACATAGAATGGTAGGTCCAGGTGCACTTTCTATAGGAGAGACAAAGAAACCCATGTTAAGGATAGCAGTAATTACAAATACATGTAGGTAGAGTAGAGCAAGTAAAGACAGCAGCAGTGTGAGGAAATGTGGTCAATTTGTCCTCCAGCAGTCTAAGCCTATAGCAGCATAACTAAGGGATAGCTCAGGAAACCCAAGCCAACCCTAACTATAGGATTTATCAAAAAGGAAAGACTTGAGCCTAGTTTTAAAAGCGGATAATGTGTCAGCCTCACAGACATAAACTGGAAGTTGGTTTCACAAGAGAGGAGCCTGATAACTGAAAGATCTGCCTCCCATTCTACATTTGGAAACTCTAGGAACTGCAAATAAACCTGCAGTCTGAGAGTGAAGTGCTCTGTTAGGAAAATATGGAACAATAAGATCTGTAATATAAGATGGAGCTAGGTTGTTGAGGGCTTTGTAGGTTAGGATTAAGATTTTGAATTCAATTCTGGACTTGACAGGGAGCCAATGGAGAGAAACTAAAACTGGAGAGATGTGATCTCTCCCACTAACTCCAGTTAAGACTCTGGCAGCAGCATTTTGGATCAACTGAAGATGTTTAAAATAAGTATTTGGACACCCAGATAACAAACCATTGCAATAGTCCAGTCTAGATGTGACAAATAATGCATGAACCAGATTTTTCGACTACCAGTAGATGTTTCTAATTTTAGTGATAGTATGAAGGTGGACAAAAGTGGTTCTGGTAACATTTTTAATGTGGGGGTTAAAAGACAAGTCCTGATCAAAAATAACACAACTTTAAAACTGGAGGACAAATTAATGCCATCCAGAGGACGTGAAAGACTGCAAAGGTTATCCCCAAGATGCTCAGGTCCAAAACATACCACCTCTGTCTTGTCTGAATTTAAAAGCGGAAAATTAAGGGTCATCCAGGTTTTTATATCTTTAAGACATGCTTGTAGTCTAAGTAGCTGATTGGATTCATTGGGTTTCATGGACAAATAGAACTGTGTATCATCAACATAACAAAGAAAATTTATCCCATGCTGTTTAATAACATTACCTAATGGAAGCATATATAAGGTAAAGAGTATTGGGCCAAGCACTGAACCTTGAGAATCTCCATGACTAACTTTGGTGTATGAAAAAGATTTACTATTTACATTTGCAAACTGGAATCTATCAGATAGATATGATTTAAACCATTTTAGAGCTGTTCCTGTAATCCCAATATCATATTCAAGCCTCTGTAGTAAAATATTGTGATCAACTGTATCAAATGCAGCACTGAGGTCTAACAGCACCAGTACAGACACAAGTCCATTGTCAGAGACCATGAGAATATCATTAGTAATTCACCAGTGCGGTTTCAGTGCTATGGTGAGCTCTAAACACTGACTGAAACTCTTCAGATTTCTGTTCAGATGTTCACGCAACTGACCAGCAACTATTTTCTCTAAAAATTTTTTAGATGAAAGTTAGATTAGATATAAGTCTACAATTCGCCAGAGTCCCTGAATCAATATCAGGCTTATTAAGTAAAGGTTTAATTACAGCAACCTTAAGCTCTGTGGTACGTAACGATTTATAAGAGACTAATTAAGCAGATACAAAATGGGGATATTATTTAGGAGAAATACCTCTTTAAACAGTCTGGTTGGGATGGGATCTAGCAAATGGAGCTGAAATTTTTATTTGCCAGACTTTTTTTATCTTAAGTGCAGTGGAGGCTAAATTACCTACAGAAATAGTTCAACTAAGTCAAATAGAACTATATGAAGAACCTTGACTATAAATGGCAATAGATGATATGCAAATGCTCTTTTTTTTATTTCCAAACATATAAATAAATTTAACTTAGCCTAAAACTATTCTAAGGAGTACAAAAAAAATATTTTTATTTGGTTCTTATCATTGAAAAAATTGACTATCTTGACATTTTGTCTAATTGGTTGTTTGGTGAAATGAGCTTTGCACTTTGAGTTAATGCAGAACAGCTGATCTATTACAAAACATGGAAAATTATTTTTTGAATTTATAAAATGTACTTTATGTCCAAAATAGAAGTTTCTAATTTTATAATTACTGGAATGCAGCGATGCAACGGTTCAAAAGTAGTTTCTTACCCTGTATTTCTAGATGTATTTTTAATTTATTTATTTTGTACCACAAAGAAATAAAGGACAAAAATGTATATTATCATCTCTGTCTGTCCACTAGGCCCAGTTGGAGGCCCAGAAGGCCACTCAGGATTTCCACAGGGCCACAGAGGTTCTACGGGCCGCAAAGGAAACCATCTCCCTGGCAGAGCAGAGGCTCCTGGAGGAGGACAACCGTCAGTTTGACTCCGCCTGGCAGGAGATGCTGAACCACGCCACTCAGCGGGTGAGGAGGAGAACATGGGACACTCGAGACGGAAAGAGAGGAACATTTTGTTGGATTTATTTCCAGTTTACCTCAGTGGCCTTCAAAAATGGGTTTATTAGTCCTAAATTGTTTGCAAAATTCAAGCCTGCCTTAAAAAAAATCACATCTTATTTTTCTCCCTCAAAATTGTGAAATTAAAGGCGTATCCTAAAGAGTTTCTAGAAATAAACAAACAAACAAGCCATGGCTAATGGCAAGTTCTAAACGGCTGTTACAGGTGATGGAGGCAGAGAACACCAAGACGAGAAGTGAGCTCTTGCACAAAGAGACGGCGGCAAAATACGCAGCAGCCACCGGTCACATGAAGCAGCTGGAGAAGAAACTGAAACGAACCATCAGCAAGTCCAAGTAAGACAACCCCCCCCCCCCCCCCCCCCCGTCTGCAGCACAACATGGACGTTTACAATCAGCTGTGAGATGTCACTTATTTTAAACTTAAATTAACCTAGTGACTCCAAATGTTTCTAGTTTAAAAACTGTATATTTTTTAAATAAATTTACCTTTTGGCAAAAGATTCAAAATTGAGACATAAAAATAATAGTGCCATTTATCATTCCCTACTCATCTTTCTTTAAGGATGGTTCTGTTCTTCATTTCCTATCCGAAATGGTTTTACTGCCCACAAGTGATTTATCAATATTTTAATGTTTAAACTATTATTATTTTGTCTGGTCTTTCACAAATAAGAAGCTATATCTCCTATTTTTTATGAGAAGTTTTAGTGCCTAAAGAAATAGTGGTGATAATAACAAAATAAGTTTGTTTTGAAGGACAAGACCAACACTAAGCAGAATTTGAGCTGAAGGCCTGAATCAGATGGGTTTAGTTTTTAGCTTGGTTGTACATTTGGCTGCTGGTCCTTGTCTGGTCCAGCTTGTGGACAGTGATGGGGACTGAGCTGGAGACAGTATAAAACAATGTCTGTGTACAGTTGACTACTTATGGGTCAATTAACCAAATGTTCTGCTGCAAACCGAGGATGAGCCGTTTATTGCTTCATTTTATTAGCTTCATCTATCAGACATTTACGTGCTGAATGTAAAACTCTGTTGTCCCTCTGCAAATAGACCGTCCATCTGTCTGTCACACTTTTATGAAATACTTTAAAATAGTTTAATCACAGCTGATGCGGAACAGATGAAAACCGAACCAGATGCCAGCATGTTGCACTTCTCTTTTCATCTACAACTGGTCAGTCTCTAAAAGAGTGAAACATGGCGTCAATCTAAACCACGTCGAACCTCAGTTTATTATTAACGGGTGTTAAAGAGGAAGAATGACTAAATGTGGTAAAGTCATAAGTTGTTGTAGAATATCACCTGCTTGTAGAGGTGTTTCAGTTACTAATGAAAAAAAGTGTTTGAACCACAAAGGTACAGTTCTGAACTGAACGTTCTGTGTGATATATTGAAATTTACATAAGACCCTCCCTCTTGGCTTCCATGTGCATCCCATCCCTCAGAGGGAGGAGGGGGCTGTCATCAGTGCCTTCTGCAGGCACTGATGTTCAGCAGATTTTAGGGCATGCAGGACGTGCCTGGACAAATAAACAGAAAGATTTCTTATATGATGATGTGCATGTGGAATTTTACAATGTTCTGTAGCAGCTAATCTACAGTTCTGATGGAAAAAACAAATGCTTCACTGCTGTGCAGCTACATGTCACGTGTTACACTTGACTGTCACTATAATTATTGCACATGGTGCATTAAGACAGATTAACATCCAATAAATAGTATTCTAAAGCCCTATTCGCACAGGATTAGTTTTACCTAGGGACCACGTGTAATAAATAAATTACTCCCCAACATCTGCTTTTAATGTGGCACATTTGCACGGGATAACCAAAGCCTGAGATTTAGCTTAAATTTACGGACATCTTCCAGATATGTTAACACGCTGCGTATTATAGTATGTATAGTAGTCTACAAACAGAAAAAAATTATTCTTACCACACAGAGCAATGCAATGCAATGATGCAATGCATGATGTGAGCCAACATTTGCATATGATTTTGCCCCTTCGCTTCAGCCTTTTCTTTTTTTTTGGCGACCATTACAGGTCGATAGGCTTTTGCTGGTCCGGGACACAAAAGGTTATTAATGCACGTCAATGCAGCCTCCATTGCCAAAGGCAAATAAAAAATGCACCCAGGAAACAAAAAACACCTAGTTACGTATCAGATCCCACCCATTTCTGTCCAAATCAGAGATGCCTATTCACATTGGATTAGTATTATCACAGGACCTCGAAGTTCAGCAAAATATAGTAGGTAATTTGCGGGGGAATTTTTACTTTACAAATTACTGACATGGCCAATTTGCACGGGATTAACAACACAGACAATCTCTGTAATTATTACAAATAGCATGTGGTCCCTAGGTAAAACTAGTCCCGTGCGAATAAGGTTTTAAACAATCATATGCCTACATGAGCAGCAAAACTCGTTTTCATTTTCAGTCCAGCATGATGCTATTCAGAGTTCTGGATACTTATTCAAAATTTTCTGACTCACATTTCAGTTTATTGATGTGAAAACCGAATATTAAATCTGTTTTATACATACATGACTTAAGTTGCCTCAACAAATGAAAACATCATTTTTAACTCTCAATCACATTTAGCAAGTTCATAAATTGACCTTAAGTGAGTTGAACCCAAACAAAAGTAGGATTTTGGACCGTCAGAACATCAGAAAGCTGCAGTCTTGCTGCACAGTGCTTCAGCAGGGTGTTAATCCGTTTTGCATCACTCTCTCAACATCATAATGCCTTTATCTCCTCTCCCCTGCCAAGTTGCTATGGTGATGATGTGGGTACCACTCTTCTCTAGGATACTGTTTTCCCCCTTTAATTGAATTCTGACCTCTTCTCAGGCGGCTGTGGCTGAGTGGTTAGAGCAGCCGTCCTCCAATGCAAGAGTTGTGCGTTCAATTCCACCAGCAGTCACATGCCGAAGTGTCCCTGGGCACAACACTGAGCCCCTCATTGCCTCCGTTGTGTGTCCCATCGGTGAATGAATGTGATACATCACTGATTATTCTTTGTAGAGATCTAGTAGAGTGCTGTATGAATGGGTAAATGAGGGCACAGATGTAGTGTAAAACGCTTTGAGTATGTTGATATGATAGAACGGCACTATACATGTACAGTCCATTTACCATTTCTCTTCCTCCACCACAGGCCCTACTTTGAGAAGAAGGCCAAGTACTACTTGCAGCTGGAGGTACTTATTTCTTACACTTTAAACCAAACATTTGCCTGTAATGTGAATGTGAAATGTTTAAAACCTTGACCACAAACAGCAGTGACATGTTTTTGTGTGCACATTAGACAAAACGCTTCATCTTAACTTGAGGCAGTTGCCCCTGCAACTTCGTTTTGCTGACTCTGTTGAGGTTTTTAAAAAGCAACTGAAAACACTTTTATTCTCCCAGGCTTTTATGTCATGATTTTATTGTGCTTCTTGAAGTTCTTATGCTCGTTTTATTCTTTGTATATTTTAGCGTTGATTTTTTATTGTGATTTTATGTCTGTGATAAGCGCTCTATAAATAAACTTTACTTACAGTTATTCTTGCAGTTATTCTGTGACAAATGCACAAGTTGCAGCTTTTAGTTTTACATAAATTTAAATCATGTCTGGTTGTGTGACTTGCAGAACAGGGTGCAAGTTGTTACACATTCCTAATGCAATTGAAATGTCCAAGATGGCTGCTTTAGCAAAAAAGGAAAAATAAGATAAATCGGTGAGTTTTGGTGATATTGAGCTGATATATGGTGTGGCGATAGCTGAGAATGTTTCCTATCAAAAGATGTATCAAAATAAAAATCCAAGATGGCTGCCACAGCTACTTTTAAATGGCTTTAATTCAGTCATTTTTACACAGAGCTGAAATTTGGTGAGGTTATAGCTGAGAACGTTCTCTATCACATACTGAATCCAAATCAAAAATCCAAGATGGCCACCTTGGCTAAAAAGGAAAAAATATAACTCAGGCATTTTTATAGCTATTAGCTGAAATTTGGTATAGTGGTAGCTGAGAGCGAACCCAAACACACTGTACTGTCAAATCAAATTTTTAATCGGCAGCAGGTTGGCAGTCAAAGTTTCTCCAGGAACTTTCTAGGGCAAATTTCTGAAACTGCAGGGTTTTCTTTTCTATATGTCCTGAGTTCATCACTGTTTTCAGCCGTATACTTAAGTCAAATCTAAGAAGTATTTGTGCCCTCTAGCATTTCCTCCAGCTATCATTTAACATCATCTCTCCTCCAGAACCTGAAGAAGAACGTGGACGAGCGGCAAGCCAAGCTGTCTCAGGCCAAAAGCGAGTACAAGACAGCTCTGAAGAACCTCGAGATGATCTCTGATGAAATCCACGAACGTCGCAGAATGTCCATCATAGGCCCTCGAAGACCTGGAGTTGGTGCTGAGGGTGACAGCGTCTCTGGGGACGACATCTCCAGCTTCAAGATGGAGTCGGACGAAATATCAAGTGAGTACACTGTGACATTTCTCTCGGACATCAATCTGCGAAAGAGTTTTAGCTTAAGGAATCCCATTCTTTGTAAATGTTGACTGCCTTCTGTGTTAGTGGTCCTCAGAAGATTTTCAGTGCAATTAAAGGCTGATTAGTTGAGGTTTAACCTTCCGTCTTCCTGCTGCAATAACAAAAGCTCACCTGGTGACTCTTTAAATGTCAGACAGCTGCCACAGTTTCACCTCTTAAGTCTTTTTTTTTTTTTTTTTGCGTTGTAAAAGAAAGTCACATGCAACAGAAATAAAACGTTCAGACTGTTGACCACAAAACATCTGTGCGAGTCACAACTTGTAGACTGGTTTAAAATATGTTTAACTCAAGTGTTTCGGTTTAGAAATCAATCTGCTGAATGCCGTTCGACTCCACATGTGAAACCTCCAGGCACTCACTCCCACCACTCTTTTAGGGGTGGAGATTTTTTTTAAGGGTAGAGGCGGAAATGCTTCACGTGAAGGGGCAGATGATCGTATGTGATATTAAGTTGTGCTGTGTTGTCTGTTGTGTTTAAAATGAGTGTTTATGTAATTATTTTCAGTTTACATATCCAAAATAACTTTTATTCGTTCAAGGCAGTCATATTTGTTCATAACTTTGTTATTAGTAAGCCTGACAGTTACCGGATCCACTCCCCGAACGCACCCTGTCAAAATAAGAGAGTTCCCAGATCCGGTTCCGGCAGGATCCGGCTCAAAGTAAGCCCCGAAAACGAGGAGAATTTTAGTTTCTCTTCAGTTTGAGTAAAAATAAACAAAATGCTAATCTGCTTCATACGTCCGATTAGTTTCACCTGAAGAATAACTAGGAGGGTGTTTCCATGGTAACAGCGGTCCAGTTCACACAGATGCTGATTATAAGTTAAGCAGGACATGAAGCTTTAAATAACCTCACACACGGACCGGGCTTTGATTTACAGTATGTGGTGAAAATAAGATCCCTTCCCAGAACGGTTTGGAATCCTTTAAGTTCTATTTATCTCTTTATTTTCCTCACAGTTTTGTTAGCTTCCTAAATTCATCATATTTTCTCCACTGTACACTTCCCTCATCATTTCCTCCTGTTTAACTTTCTTCGTTGTCCCGTCCTGCAGTGGCCTCGGAGTGCTTCGACGATGACCTGTATGGTGGGGGGAGCATCATGTCGGAGGAAGACTCTGAGACTCGCTCCACCAGCAGCCTTGGTTCAACTCCCAGCAGCCCCCAGGAGCTCCTGTCACCATGTCTCTTCGCCAGCTCCTCTTCCTCCTCCGGCATGTCTTCCTCTGCCTCTCCGTCACCCACTCCTTCCTCGTCCTCCTCCACGTCCGGCCCAGCTCTTCTGTCCAGGCCCTGCAGCCTTGACCTTCCCAGCACCGTGTCACTGTCAGACTTTGGCCTCATCTCACCGGTTCTCGGGCCTCGCAGCGAGTGCAGTGGGGCGTCGTCGCCTGAATATGATCTGGAACGAGGTGAGTGATAGGATTTAGGTTTAACTACTAGTTTATACAACTAGTTGCTAGTTACTTGTATATAAGACCTAGAAGGAATGCACATCACCGGCTGCCTTTCATGCAAGTTTTAAACAAAAAACATTGTGTTGAAAAATGATGAAATTATAACTGATGGATCAAATCAACACTCCCAAGGATAATTAATTAGATGCACACATGATTGCGTTTTGACAGTTTTATTCATATATTTTGCTAACATACAGGGTCGATGGTTAATTCCATACTTTTATGCAAAGATGTGATGCTTAGTGCTCAGAATGTGTGTTGAGAATAACTCTTAGCTACCACCACGCCAAATTTTAGTTCAATATCTATAAAATCAACTAAATTATTGCAGTTTCTGTTTCCCAAAGTTAGCTGGTTGTGGCAGCCATCTTGAACTGGATTGACTCAAAAAGTTTATTAGTTATAGATGTACATCTAGTGATTACCATACTTTTGTCAAACAGTCCTTGAGATATTTGGCTAACTGCGCTTAAGGAACAAAGATGATTTTGTAGCGGGTGATTAAAAACTATCTTAGTAACAGAATAACAAACGGATGGTGTGCAAAATATTTTCATTTAGCACAGATTGCAAAAACAAATGACGTATAATGGATCCGTGAATGTTCAGAGTAATGCGGTGCGGTGGAGAAACGATAAAGTCTTCACCTCTGTGCTCTTTAAATCTTTAAACACGTTCAATGTATTTTGGAGCCTTTATTCAAATTAGACAATTGCAGTTGCTTTAAACAGCTATCTAACGGCACAGTTCGTGTTTCTACACAAGGGAGCGGGGAAACCAGACTAAAGTGAGATGGATGAAACTTGGGGATCTATTTTGGGTTGGATGCTGGATCTCATGCTGCCTGCACGGCTCACACCTGCTCCTCGAAAAGAGAACATTTGTCAAGGTGACAACGAGCCGGGCGCCTCTTGTGCAGCGGTAAAACTTATTAACGGATCGGTTTCCAGAGAGGAAATTGGTCACAACGCTCCAGTCACTTTTAATGAAGAACTTCAATCTGTGCTGCTCCACCTTCACTGCCAGGACTGTTTGCTTGTTTGTCACAAACAAACAAACAGACTTCTATTTGAGACTACTGTATACCCACTGCTGAAAAGCCCACATCTTTCTTTTACAAAAATATCCCATAAAATTTAATGACATTTGCAGATGGAAGTTGTTGGATGTACATTTGCAACTGAATAATTATTAAATCCTTAATAAAATGGCTGCCACAGCTACTCACCTTAAACTATTAACTTGTTTGACTATAACAGTTGGGACAGACACCGAGCAAAACTTTGGTGTGGTAGTAGCTGAGACTATTCGCCGACACATACTCCAAACACTAAAGTCTTTATACAGAATGTTACCTTTAACCATTTGCAGTCAGGTCTGTCTGTTAGCAAAATATTTTATTACTACTGGATGGATGTTGTTGAAACTTTCAGAAAATAATAATGTAATGTTTCTAAGACTGAATATATTTTGAAGCCATCTGACCGAAGACAAAAATGGGTATAAATTAGTCATATTGTGCAGATATTGTGGTAAAATTATAAAAATAAAAAATTTGTTCTTACTGTAAAGTGTCCTTGGGTGTCATGAAAGGCGCTTTTTAAATAAAATGATTATTATTATTATAAAATTAGTTGTAGCCGAGTGTCATTCACAACTGCAACTGCTAATCATTGCACAAGATCTTTGGCCAAAAAAAAATCAGTCAACTTTGTTTGGTTGTCAGCAAAATATCTTGTTCACATTGAGTGTGAGAGCTTGTGATTTTCAATGTTTGATCAAAATAGCTACAAACGGTCATGGAAGGCAGCAGGTGATATGCACTCCTTTAATACTGGGCCTTTAATTATATTTAAAGAGTTCAAGAAACAATCATTTACTTGTTATATTTAGTTGTAACCCTTTTATTAAAACCGTGTCACCGATGATATTTTATACAAGCCTACCAGGCAGACATTTTGAAGCTTAGGTGGTAAAGGTTTAAATATATACATTAAAGATTAACTTGATGCCTAATGTATGATTATTGTAATTACCTCTCTTTTATTTTAATGTCTCATTTTATCTCGTTTTACTTTTAATTATAATTAATATACTTGTTGCTCTGGACTTTTGTTTAGTTTGGGTCTGAATGTTTAATGGATGTCTATTTCAAAAAATTATAAACATAATAAAAAACACACACACATATTACAGAAATGTCGACTGAGGCTTTTCAACTCTCATCATTAAATCCCAACGTGTCTTACTCCTGACCTGCTTTCTTCTGCAGGCGACCGAGCTGAAGGTGCAGAGGGGGATCTGGACAACACTCCGGTTGGAAACAGCAGCTCATCTTCCAACATCAAGAAAACCTTTAACCTGGAGGCACGCTTCAGCTTTCTCAACCTGCGACGCCCGCGAGCCAGCAATGCCAAAAACAAGGACGGCTGCCCCCAGAAGATGGAGCAGAATGTCGTCTTCGTCAAATGAGTCTGAGGATCAAGACGGGGGCGGGGGGCCGTTAGTAAGTCTGCATTTAGTCTCATTCTAAACCAAAAACTCGAAGCTAAAGGCCGTTCGTAAGGTACCTACCACTACTCGGACCCATCTCTAACATAAACTCTGAATGTGATAGTTGATGTAAATTAATCTTTCTGTACTTCATGGCACCTTTTGGTGCACATATGGACTCATATGCCAGTTAGACATTAAGCACTATAATGTTAAAAAATGTTTTTGTTCTTTCTCCACTTAAAAAAAAAAAGGTTTTAGTCATAAATGCTGCCAACGTCCCAACCTGCTGTTACTGATAGAAATAGACGTTATAGTTGAATGTCCAGCACATGGACTGCTGTAAACCACACCGAGGTGATGTTCTGTTAACAGTTCTAAAACTAAAGTCACTCAGTGGAAGAAAAAGCTTTTAGTCTTCTGCCCTGTAGTTCTGTATTTATGTTGTACTTTCAGATGGTATGTGATACTTTTTAGGATTCAAATGTTAATAACTAAATAAAAGTTGGACAAAGCATTTAAAAAGTACAAAGGCTCTTCATGCATATTATTACATATCGTACTTTAAATGTATAAAGTTCAGTTTTTTTTTTAACTAGATAATTTACTGTAAACTGTATTAGAAAACACCTAAATATAAAGAAAACCTACAGCCGTTTGGGTCAAACCTTGTAAATGATTATCTCATGCATAAATGTGAAATTTCACATGAAGTGATGAAGATGACTTCCAGCTACTACCGCGCTAAATTCTAGCTCAGTATCTGTAAACATGACTGCGTTACAGCCATTTTTATGGTGGCCATTATGAAGAGTACTTTCTTAGTTTAAAAGTTCATCCAGTAATTGCTTTGAGATTTTCAATAAAATCCATCCACGAGATATTTTGTTAACAGGCAAAAGCATTATTGCTGCTCCACTTCGGTGGCAGGCGATCAAAAAGAGGCTTAAGCTTTAAAGTAGACCGTCTGAAGAGAACAAAAAGATCCAAGAAATGTTTTTAGAAGAGTAAAAATGTTCATTTGGCCCACGTGTATCTCTTGTTCTGTCATTAGAGACTCGTATGAATTCCTGGCGTTCTTTCTGTTCGACTCAAAACCAACTGGGTGCAACCGAAGAGCTCACTGATAAATTGTTAGCATGCACACGTTAATTAGCTTCATCTTTAAAAGGCGTCTGTCGTGACTTTTTAGGAAAACTTCAGACCGGCTGCAGAGTAGCGCGTAAAGATAAAAGAAACAGTTTATTTAATCAGTCATGACCTTTGATTAACAACCGCCTGTTTAGAGATCTGACGCAGCTTCAGAGAGGTTGCAACGTAAAACACATTCCTGCCAATGGCTTCAAAATAAAGCTCCCAAGACGTTCAAAGAAAATCATAAATATGTTGGACTACTTGCAGATTATGAAAAACGTAATTATTTGAACCTTTGAAAGTAAACGCATACATTCACATCACTTTCAGTGAAGTAGCTGATTTTTCAAACTTGCATAACAACAACAAGCAGATGTTAATCCACTGGCACACCAACAATATGTAAAACAATAGAAATCATGCCAGTGTGTGATCTGATATCATTATTTAAATGAAAAGCTTATTACTAAGAATGCATCTAGATCAAACCTTCAAAAGCACTTGACAAAGAAAACATGAAATGTGAAGCTGAATAAGCGACCAAAATGTACCGGGTGGTTGTTTTTGTTTTGTTTTTTGGTCATGCATCTTGTGACATCAATTTTGCATAAGCTATTTATAAACTTTCTTCTTAGATCAAAATATAACAGTAGCTTGTATTTGTCGTTTCCTAGAAATAAGCTTATAAAACTAATCAGATCACTTCAAAAATATTTTTGTGAAAATTTATGTTGCACTTTTTTTTGCTTAAACTTAAAAGTCTCTTCAAAGTTAGGCCTGTGATGTCATGGCAAAAGCAAAGCACTCTTCTTGGAAGAAAGTGCGAGTGGAAATGCACAAATGTAATTTAGATGTTTATTAGTTGTCCATCTTCCCAACAAGGAGACATTTAATCGCTGTTGCTGAAGGCCCGTGTCTGTGTGACGACCTTTCAGCAAAACATCTCATGATCCAAGGGCAAAATATCTCTTGAACAAAACAAATGTTAATAAAACCTTTAGGTAGTAATAACTGGCTGTAAATCAAAATTAATAACTTTTGGAGTCCTCATTTTCAAAATGGTCACCACAACCAAACGACCTTAGAAAACAACAATGGCTAAAACAGTTTTACAGACATTGAGCTAAAATTTGCTGAGTATCATCCGACATACTCCAAGTACATTATGCTACAAAGTATTTTATTAAAGCCTTGGCATTAACTGTAGAATCAACACTGTATCTCATGAACCACTGGATAGAATTTAGTCGAACTTTGGGAAAGTAATTATTTAATTTACATCTACAGCTCATTAACATTTGGGGTTAACCCAGTTCATAATGTCCCCCTCAACTAATGGACCTTAGCCAACATAAAAATGGTTTCAAGTCAGCCCTTCTTACGGATATGGAGCTGCCGTAGCTGAGTTTTCCTCAACATGTGCTTTGAGTGAAACCCCATCTCACAAGATTGTGCATAAAAAGTTCACATTGTTCGACCAACACAGCTGTAACTGTCTTTTCTCAGTATAAAATGATTTAAAGTTCAAAAGTCTGGCATGAAAGGCGGCAGACGATATGCATTCTTTCAAGAAACGCTTGGCCCTGAATGTGCCATCAGAATCTGACAATCGGAAGGAAGGTCCATTGGAAAATGAAGAGTAAGTTTTACACACTAAGAAACAGTCAATGTTCATTAATACGACTTTGGATAAAAAGGACCAGCCAACATCAGAGAAGGAATAATATGACCTCGGCTTCAACTGCATTACAGAACGTTGTAAAGGCACGTAGCTCTGAATTTCCAAGATAATTAGCAGTTATTTTATTTTACTGAAGTCTTTTTTCCATCTAATGTTAATGGTGTCTACATTTTAAAAGGTCTCAAATGGTTTAAGAGACTTGTGTCTGTAGCCACTCTGTTAGGATATTTAGTAAGTAGCTCAGCTCTTGTAGTCATTAAACTTTAACTTTTCACACTGCTGGCATCGTGACAATTGGAGTTAGACTTTAGACTGAGAATCTGCACTTGTAACGAAAAGTATTAACACACGTGACCCATCTCATCACAGGATCAAGTCATACTTGGTCAAACGAAACTAAGCACGTTTTCAGATTATTTTAATTTGTAAAAAAAATAAATGAAATGTGTATGCCTCTTTTATGACCATCTATTGTTATCCACTGTTGTCATCACTCTTTCTTACAAGAGAGAACTGATTTCTTTAACAGAGTCTCCACGGCTCGATGGGATTAACCTTTATAAATAACGGTTGAATGTAAGTTACATTTTGATACCTTGATCATCCTGATATCATGAGTATGGTAGTTCCAGATAAGACAATTAGATAATATCCCTGGAAAAAGTGGTCAAGCTTATTTTGAGCGTATTCTAACGAGGATGTCTTGGCATAATTTGAAAGAAAAAATCTGAAACTGGATATTGGGCTTTCCCAGCTGGGATTGAAAATATCTTTGCTAATGCACAGGGAATATAGCAACCGTTTAGGGCTTTTCTGCTCAAAATCATTATTTATTGGTACTACTCAGAAAAGTGATTCTGTATTTCAGACATTTTCTTCAAAGGACCCATATCATATTTTGTCAAAAAAATCTAAAAACTCCTAATTTTTCAACTAATGCCCTGTATATGGCTTTATTTCAACTACCCTGCAACTTAATCCTTGGTTCAGTGGATGGATCTCATATAGATGATTTTAGTAATTTTACAATGCCCTTTTATTACACCTGAGAAAGAAAAATAATTTTAGGTGATCAGTAATGCTGAGCCTTTACTTTTCGTTTAAAACTAAATGTTTGGCATATAAGCTATACAGTACTTTTCATATTCACTCATTTGTGCGTGCTTTGCAACTGATTTGTTTTAAAACGTAACATACCTCCTGTTTCTCGTTCAGATGTTGCAGTCACATTTTGCACCACGTGGATCATCTGAAAAGGACATTTATATCAATACTTAAAAACAAACAGTAAACGTAAAAATGCCCACAAAAACTGTCAACTTACCCAACAGATGTCGTGTCAGCAGATTAAAGTTGATAAGAGACTGGCAGACTCACAACAGACTCATCAGCTGAAACTGTTTACTGTCACAAACAACTTCACTCGTGTAACATTTTACAATGTTAATAGTTAGCATCAGTAAATAATTTTACTCTCCTGCAGTTTACGGAAACTATCAGAATCAACCTGATGTGGCCGAGTAGAAAAATGTGTCTGGTTTATTTTTGATATTTCGAAGCAAAGTAAACTGAGGAATGAGGTCAATTGTTGTTGTGGCATTTCACTTTTTGTAGTTATTGGCAAAATTCAACACTAAACGTGATGCAATCATAAGAATATCCTCATTGGTGCAAAAGGTTTTATGTTCAAATACAGACATTAAGTGCATGGTCTTCCAGTTTAAATTTTTTACATTATTAGGGCTTAATTAAAATCATCTGCTCCATAACGTCAAGACATAAATCATGACATATAGCAACAAGTAAAAATCTACAAAAAAGTGAACAATAAATGCAAAAAAACATGCCCAACCTAGATTCTTCTACAGCAATGAAGTGGGTAAGAAGCAGAAAGGTGCTGTCAATCAAATGCATTGATTGACTGAATGGGTTCACCTCTATAAAAGCATAAGTTTAAATTGGCTCATTCAGAAATGGGTTAGAATGTCAAAGAACAAACTGCAGAAGTTTAAAACACTGATGCCAATCAATATAAGACAGATGATAAGGTATAGAAAGTATTTTTCCAACTAGTTAGCATAAAAAGTTGAAGAAAATGTTTTTTTTTTAACTGTTATTTTTTGAGGATTGGATATCCAAGCAAGATGATGACACCTAGGTCAGAATGTATAATAATAGGAAAGCTGCACTCCGCAAAAAAAACCTCTCAAACTATTTCAAACATAAGTCGCTGAAAACTACAATGAAGCATGTAGAAGAAATGAACAAGATTTGATAGGAGGGCTTCAAAGTAAAAGGTCTCTCTGAAAAATCATGGCAGCACAGCTTAGGTTTGCAAAGTTGAGTCTGAACGACTGCAGACATTCTGGAACAGTGTCTTTTGCACAGACGAAGACCAATGTGGAGATGTTTGGCTGGAGCGCACCGAGCATTACAGTTAGCATAATCATCTGTTAGCAGCACGGTGGTGGAGGGGTAATGATTTGGGCTTACACTTTGTAGTCATTGAGTTATGTGTACTCAATACGCTCGAGTTAAATGTGAGACCTAGCCATGGAGCATGCAACATCATGTAAGAAGACAATGATGCCAAACACAACACATGTTCAACAGATGTGTTGAGTCAAAGTTCAGACTCAAAACAACCGTGTCTGACTAAAATGCTGGGGCATGACATAAAAAATAGACCAAATAAAACAAACAATAACAAACTTTGGTCAATTAAAGTGATGTAAAGAAGAGCTCCAGTGATGTGGAGAGACTGACACAGAATGATTCTTTAAGTTCAACACTGCTAAAATTGATTCTACGGTTTTGTGTGTCTCATCGTCTTTAATGCGTTTTGATCAGTTGTAGTTTGATACTGTTTGAGTGTATAATAACCTGATTTTAAAATCTGATAAAGACCAGATACAGTTTTATGTCCGTATAGACAAAACTTAAGAACTGTTGAAACTTTTGACCATAAAGAGTTCTAACACGAATGTGTGAATAATCACACTGACGGAAGATGAAATCATTTTAAATAGACATCGGAGACAGAAGCAGATGTGTGTGTATATATATATATATATATATTCCTGTATTTAAACACATCAGTCTAACATTTTAGTGCAAGTTCTGCAAACATCACATCAACATTCATACAACAGGTTTCTGCAAGATTGTCCTGCTGATGGTGTAAATCAGCTCGCTGGTAAACAAAGCAAACATCTGTAACTGGTAGAAAATAAAACTACAGCCATTTGAGAATAAACAGAAATCAATGTGTAAACTTTTTCTGGTTTTCCAAGAAAGCTACTGGTAATGCTCACGTCTTAAGAAAAATAATGTAAAATAACATTTTGTTCTTAATATAACTCATATGAGCAAACTATATTTAGAAATTGTGACAGTAACGCAATAAAATATTTAGAAGGAGCAACAAGTGGCGCTAAATATTTGTGAAACGGTTTCCCAAGTGAAGAATAAACTTTGATGCTCTAATTTTCATTGAGCCAATTTAAAGTGAGGCAAGTTGGCACCACTGCAACGCTAACTCTTAACAGGATTTTGTTTAAAACGTAGACTCGGGACTGTGCAGCAACAGAGCTGTTAGAGTGACACATGATAAATGTTCCCAGAAGGTTCAACAAAACCTGTTCGTTTCAGCTGAGCGGGAATCAGAATAAATTACAGAAACATTTGTCCATAACCGGCCGCTGATAGGTGACATGAAAAATAAACTTTCTACACTGAAGTGTGCATCAAATATGACAGCTTGTATTAAAAAGTGACATCTTCTGGGTCGTAGTTCGACATAAAACATGAGAAAATATAAAAGTGCAGAACAATAAACGTAAACAGAAGTACTTGGCATTACATATAAATCTCAAACGTTGCAAGAACTTACACACACTCAAACACATATAAGTAAAGCACATACAGCTGGGTGATATCAGTCTCGTACAGTATTGGATGTAAGCCCTGTGAATGAAATCAAACTGATAATCTCACAAACATGAGAAGACATCGTTTGAACGCTGCCATACTTTATTCCCTGCGATGTTGCACTGCTCCTGAGAAGAATAAACCTTTTTCCAGGAAAACCTTTTCTACTTGACACACTTTAAAACTGCTGGTTTGGCATCACCAGCTCAGTGCAGCTTCTTTTCTAATATACTAAAAAAAGCTAACTGCTTTGATAATTTATTCAAAGAAAGTATATTTTCTAACACGGCTGCAAATTTCAGGCAACTTCTCTTTCATGTAGTCCTGCAGAAATGAGTCATCAACATTTGACCAAGGCTGATTTCATACTAAATAAGTTTAAACATCACTTTAAACATTTATCTGAGAAGAATGATTGATCCAAACTTTTGTTTGTCTGAATCTATGACAAGTGACTGAGAGAGCGAAAATATAATCGTGAACTCTTCATAAATACAAACTGGATAGATCTGGTTGTTTTGTTTTTTGCATCAAAACAGAAAGTGAAAGAGGAAGAAGTGGAAATCTCTCTCATCCTTGGCAACAGTGTTTCTGCTTATTTCAACCTCGTTTCACCTCCACGTTTTGAAATGTGGTCAAATCAGTTGCCTCTTAAAATCTATCAAATTAAATGTAAAATGCTGACGGATCGTTATTCCATCTGGTAAAGCTGTATCTGGCAGATTATGGAAAAAATTAAGACTTTGTGACATTTGTTTTTAACACTGGTGGAAGTCTATTTTTTTTTCTGTCTCATAATGTCTTTATGGTTACAGATAATCAACATTCATTTCTTATGTCTATAAATGTTTTATTGTTTCCACAATAGTTATGAAGAACTATGGAGTCCATGTCAAAGTTCATGTTCTTAATCTGTCCAATTAAGTTTGTAGAAATTAGAAAAGTGAAGGCAGAAAAACTCGAGCAGCAGTCCATCTTTTTTCATTGAGCTCTAATTCGTTTAGTCAAACTGTAGTCTCTGAAACATCCCATAATGCCTTCCTCTCTTAAGTACCTTTATGTCCGTCCCAGCTCAGTATTTTCTATCAACCTTCATCTTCATTGGAGTTGGGAGACCTTGAGGGGTGCGATGCTGCCGAAGTCTAGGAAGAAAGGTCCTTCCTGTTTGGGCAGGAAGGTGGTGGGGACGACGTTGTAGATGCCTGCTGGGACGTGGTCCGCCTCCATGTAGCAGAAGCCACATCTATAAAAAGGACAGAAACGAATCACCGAACTAACTTTCAGATTATCTGCCCTCTGTTAACTTTACTTTGACTAAATCTAGAATAATCCAGGGAGAAAGATTTTAAACACTACATTAGGACAACAGGAGGAACGGTCGTCTTCTTAACTCTGCCAGGAATTATTGACGACACTCTTTCAAATACACAATGAGGAAAAAGTTTATTGCTCATTTGATTAAATTTAAGTCTTGCTCAAATAAAACAGCAGCATTTATGGAGTATCTGGGTTTCAGGTAATTTTGTACCACTTCTTAATTCTACCCCCCCAGTATCGACATCTCCGTCTCTCTTCTAGGAGTTCCAGTAAAATGAGGGTTGTGTCTGTTGTCGGCTTGAGGTAACCACCCAGGAATACAAAAGCGCTGTTTGCATCAATATATTAATCCTTCTAATATTAACCTGTGCATCTCGACTCAAGTAGGTCGTGCAGATTTATTGTATTTTTGTTTTTTTTGCTGATTAAAAGTCAAACACTTAAAAGCACCATTTTAATGAAGACCCTGAGAAAGAATAAAATAATCAGTGTTGTAGTCATTTTCTTGGAGATTTTGATTTGTAACATCTTTCAAATGTGTTTTGATATTTCTTAAATACTCTTAATATTTTAAAAATAAGTGTTTTGTAGGTGCAGGGGTCCATTTGTAATCATGTGATCACTACTGTACCTGTAATCTCCACTGCTCTTCTTCTGGAAGGCAGCTGGGCCTGGATCACCCACCATTGACACCGTCACCATCTCAAAGCCAACACTGTACTGCCTGCAGACACAAAGCAGAATTTAAATGCACACTGATGATTTAAAGACTTTTTAGACTCACAACTTTATAATTTGTTTTGAAATCTAAGTAATTAGCATAACATTAGGGCTCTTTTTCGCTCCATTGTCCAGTTCACTCTTCATCTCTTCCTTAAATGTTTACAGCTCTGCATGGCAAACGATCACAGATATCATAAGCACCAGAGAGGGCAAACATAATCTTCTTATGCTACACAATAAAGTTAGTTACTTATTAAGCTTTCAAAAAAATAGCTTAAATTTAAAATTTGTCAAACTTATATTGTAACAACAGATAAAAATCCAATTTGCAGTGCTTACTGAAATGTGCTTGTGATTAGTAAATACAAATCAGGAATCTCACAGGCTTGACACTAAATTGCCCTTGATACTAACATTCTTGGTATTGACGTTCCTAAAACACAACCCAGTACCCCAGAGCAAACAGATAACGAGCAAAACGAATGCAGTAGTCCCTCGCTACTTCGCGGTTTGTCTATCGCGGTTTTTCAAAATAAGATTGGATGTGACACACAATTGGCTGATTTATGGATGAGCTGCCCGGTCGGCATGGAATTTTTATTTAAAATAAATTATTTTAAATTATTTAGCACCTGCTGCACATTTGTGCAGCCCATACTGCAGGAGAAACTTCCTGCTGCAGCTGATCAGCTGTTCACCGTGCAGAGCGGAGAAGTGGGCGTGGCCAAGAGCGCTTGCAGGTGGCAAAGAGCAGAGGAGGCAGGGAGCTGAAATCATGTCATTCTGTGCTCTTTTAGAGCGTTTAGAGTTTAGAAACACTGTTTAGAATATTGCAAGTATGTGAGAAGGGTTTAAAACACCTTTATATATATATATAAATATAAAAAATAAACTACTACTTACTACTTGTGCTATAACTACTTTGCGGTTTTTCACTTATCGCGGATCTTTAGGGTATGATTCTCCTGCGATAAACGCGGGACTACTGTAATATATTTTCTGCATTGTTTTATATTAGAAAAACAAATCATTGTGATGAATATTTAGAGACCACGGTAAATGTATCAGATTCAAAGTGTGGTCCTGATCTAAAATGAGACTGACCTGGATCCACGCAGCTCAATAAGGAGTGGGCCGGACCGCTCCAGGTTTATCTGATAGATCGGATTATGTTTGTAGGAGTCCTTATAGTTTCCACATCCACCAGCACTGAGGCCTTTCCACTGGCCGTTGATCTGAAGACAGAGGCACAAATAAAATCACCTGCGTTAGAGTGAAAAGCAGGACATGGCAACAAAATAAACTCTTTTTAAAAAATCACTAGTAAATTCATTAATTAGTAAAGTCATTAGTTCTAAATGATTAAGTGTCACTGTAGCGTTTTAATGGCAGCCTGCAAGCTACACAAGATTAACTACAATTGTCTTTTCAAAGAATTACATTTACAAATTCTAGAACAAGGGCTGGTTTTAGCTTTGTGGTTTTAATGTTGATTCGACTTTTACGAGAAGGTTTTATTCATGTTTTACGTTTTATTGAGTCTCTTAACTTTCACCTTCATCTGTTGGTTTGAACTTTTGACAATGCAAAAACAGGAACAAGCTCTCGGGGATTGTCAGGATGTGCAGCAAAACTGCTGGCACAGCCCTACAGAACCTCACTGACCTACACAAGACGAGGTCAGTGAACGAGGCCAGGCTGATTCTGGCAGATCCTGATCACCCACTCCATGGTGAGTTCAGGTTGTTTCCACCTGGACGCAGGTATCTGCTGCCCAGATGTGGAACGAACAGACTGAAAAACTTGTTCATTCACAGTGATGATTTCTGTTACTTTAATATCTTAATGTCTAGTATGGATGTTTTATATCTCTACTGACTGTGAAACTAATTGCCTCTCAGGGATAATAAAGATTCTTGAACTTGAACTACTATACTGTACAACAATAAGTCCAACCTGTAGATGAAACACGTACCCTTTTTGTATGAGTGAAGGGGTTTGGTATCTTGGAGAAGGTGAATTTGCATCCAGTGTACACCTACAAACAAAAAAAAACAAGTGCTCACTGTTAACAGAAAACTTACTTTATGAAAGAACAAAAGAAGCAACCTAACAAACACAACAAAAATACAACTGAAAACTGCCTATTTAATGTCAGGGGGTTTGTTTGCTAACAAAGAGATGCATGTTTTCCTATTTTCTGTATTAAGCTTGAAACAAAGTTAGCATATGTGCTGAAAAAAATAATCATATTTTAAATTCAGCCTTGTTCTGGCAGAGGAGCACTGCAGAATGAATGAAGTTTAATGCTTAGATCTTGAGTTGATACTCGTCAGTAAAAGAGGTTTAGTCAGTTATTCTCCAGATGAATCTTCAGCAGAAAGTGATCTGAGCTGAAGGGGGATGAGGACGTTTTCACGCTTGGCTTGTTGGAGGAGAGAAAGAGAAAGCTTGCAGTAATTACAGCAACTGTAATGTGGTTGAACACAAAACGCAGGGACACACAAACAGTCAACACAGCTTACAGCCAAGACGTGTAAAGAATGCATGTTTTGTTTAATGAGTTATTTCAGTATAAATGGCCTCCAAAAGCCCCTTTTTTCCAGTTAGGAGGGAAAGTCTATGAATAATAAATGATTAAAGAGAAGTATTTGGGTCACACATGTGCACACCCATCAGCAGAAACACGCATAAAAAAAAACAACTCCCTGGACTAGTTTCAGGGAACTGACATTTATCAAACGAGTGTGTTTAGAAGTACAATATGACAGGTGAATTATCATTTACACAAAGAAGAGAAAGAAACGGTGCCAAGTGGCTGAGAATATATTTGTAAAAACAAACAGAACAGAACAAGCAGACATTCTTCTCACTGCAGAACGAGCGAGTCCAGATTGCTGTGAGCAGTGTTCCCCTTGCACTTGTCCGGACCAACGGGAAGTCTTACCAGAACAAAAAGTAACACATATTAAAATAAACATAAAATTTGATTGAGGAGTCTGAAACTATTGACACGTTGAAGTCTTTTCATGTGTCATGAGCACAGCTGGTGTCAGATTATCTTGGTTTCATTAATCAGATGGTAAGTTTGAAAGTAAATATGAAATACCAGCACACGACCTGCGTTCTTTGTTCTGGAACAACGGCAGCAGTTTTAGTGTGGACGCTACTAAATCTGCAGAGAAACACAGCAGCTAAATGCTGGGCATTTTTTAGCTATACCACCATTTTGTCACTAAGCCAGTTAAAATTATGTAAAAAAGTTGATTCATGTCCATGATGTACTGAAACTTGGATTTAAATGAAACTAGAGAAACTGCATTTCCTGCAAAAGTGCAGTGTGAATGCTTACCGCAGAAGAACTTGCTGAAAAACTGTTGACATTAGCTAAAAACATGCTGAAATGTAGCTGAAATGAAGAACAAGCCTAAAGTTGCAGAAGAAAGCTGAAAGAACACATATTTGCTGAATTAGATTTAAACAAGCAGAAATGAGCACAGAAATTAGGAAAATTAGCTAAAAAAAAAAAAAGCTGAAATTTGCAAAAATAGCTCAAAAGTAGCTGAAAAGGCAGAAATAATCTTAAACTACCAAAATGAAGTGGAAAGAACGGAAATTAGTTTTAATAAAGGTGGAATTAGTTGAAAAAGCAAAAATTTGCATAAAACAGCTAAATAGTAGCTGAAATAGCAGAAAAAACTGAAACAAGCATAACAAGCTGAAATTAGCAAAAATAAGTTAATTTGCCTAAAAGCAGCAGAAATTACCACAAAAAAAAACGTGAATTTATCTGAAAATGGCTGAAATTAGCTAAAAATGCTAAAAAGTTAGCTGAAAAGGAAGTGCAAGCTTAAATTAGCAGAAGTAGAAAGAACACATTTGCCCAATTAGGCTGAAAGAAGCAGGAATGAACACAAATGCATGGAAATTATCTGAAAAAAGGCTTACATTAGTAACAACAACAACAACAAAAAGCAGCCGAATAGTAGCGAAAAATGCAGAAAAAAAGCTGAAATTACAAAGTAGGGAGAGCACATTTTTGCTGAGTTGGGCTGAAAGAAGTTTAAATGAGTGCAAAAATGTGGAATTAGCTGAAAAGCTTAAATTAGTAGGAAAAACAGCTAAATAGTAGCTGAAATAGTAGAAAAAGCTGAAACCTGCATAGCTGAAAGGAGCATAGCAAGCTGAAATTAGCAGAAAGAAGATAGAAGATACAAAAATGTTGTAGTTAGCAGAAAGAACCTGAAAGGAGCACAACACAGCTGAAAAAAAACAGCTGAAAGTAGCAGATTTTTTTTTTTCAACAAGGAATCTGAAAGAAGCTGAACCAGAACAAAATGTGAAAGGAGCAGTAAAACTTCGTAAACTGATCTAAAGATTTGAAGGATGTAAAATGAGCTCAAATCATTTTCTATAAGGAAAAAAACTGGCAGAAAAAGGCTAAATATCTCAAAAAGCCAAAGTTGCACCAATACCAAAAGTCAAAGCAGGATTGTCCTGAAACAGATTAACGTTTTAATTTATGGTTTATTGAAATAGCTCGAAAACTGCGGGATGAGAAAAGTGCCGAAAAACGTACGTCAAGAAAAATGGATCACAATAGTGTGAATGCTTCATAAACATTCACACAATAAAACATTCAAATGTTTGAATCACTCACATTATTCTTTTTATTTCACTACTGTTTTTGTCATTTTCTGTGGCAGATGACAAAATGATTTTAAAATGATCAAACACTAAATATTACAATAAAATGAAACTAATTTATAAAATAAGTTCAAACTAAAAGGTTCAAGCTTTAAAATAAAGCTCAACCTGATGCCTCTCACCCGCAGCGTGTAGTTGATCGTGTTCTGCTTCTCGTACTGAGAAACCACCAGAGTGAAGGTATGAGTTCCTGCAGTGGTCAGCCTCATCTTTGTCAGGTAGTGGGGGCTGTTGATGCGGATCCCATCGATGTAAGGTGGGGGCTCCGCTGTGGAGGAAACCAGATACATGATATACAGCGACGAACTCAAGGGACAGCAAAGTTGAGGTTGACCTTTCTTCAGTCTCATGAGGTTTATCCCATCACTGAAAGTGGAGGAACAGATATTTTTGATTGATTATTTAGATGAAGAATTCTTTACGGTCTTAACTTCTCTTTGTAAATTGAGCAGTGTGTCATAGAAATTGGCTTTCTCTTATTGACTAATGTTTCTTCAGGGCACCTGACCTTGCTGTGTGAAATAAAGGTGTAACAGACAAACTGCTGATGTGGATCATCTACAGTTCCACTGTCACAGTTCAGCGGTTCAGAGACAAAAAAAAAACAACAGTTTTTTAACGATTCTATCAAACTCACCTGGGTAATAAACCTTCTTGCCATCAGTCTTGTAAACAACCAGCGTGATAAACTCCCTGTTTTGAGCAAAATCATCCTGGGAAAACAAGCAAACAGCCATCAGATTAATCAAGACATTCTAATAGAAAATGACTTTATTACTACAGAATTAGGCTTGAATGAAAAATAAATCTGTCAGGACGTCCTGACCTTGTCAGTGATGTGTCTGGTGAGCAGCACCCATACAGCAGCGCCCCCTGCTGGACACTGAACCTCCAGCTTGTACTGAGGATTGTTTGCAAGACTGTAGACGTCCTTCACTGGTCCCAGCTTTCCATCCCAGCTACTGTAGGAGGTAAACGGACAGGAAAATAAACTTGAGACAGTTTGCCTTCTAAAAACATTAAATTCCACTTTTTTATTTTTTAATTTACAGATTTACATGAAATTAAATATTCCATATTACAAGCATCTTTCCATTTTCCAATCTTTTATCAATTGCGGTCATTTTCAAATTTTACAATGACACTTCTTCACTGTGGAAGCCCCACACAAACTGATAGAACATTCTTCTTGGTTTCCACTTAGCTTACACATATTCCCAAGAGTCGCGTAGCGTCTCAATAACCCAAAATAGAAAAGATAAGAACATCAGAACCAGGGGAGCTTAAAAGGAGAAAAAGGTAAATAATAATTAAGAGGGGGAAACAGGAAAAAAAGGAAAACAGTATTACAACATTCCCCAGTTGGGAGAAGAAGTCATGACAGAGAAGTTATTAAAATCCAACTCTAGTTGGGGTTGCATTGTTCCAAAATCGGTAAAATTGATCTCTTTGAATGGAGTACAGGTTAACTTTTCCATCTTGAGTATTTCTAAGGTAAAATCCAACCACCCTTCCACTGTAGGAGGGGTTGTGTTGAGCCATTTTCTAGTCATATTTTTCTTGGTCGCCACTAAGAGGGATAAGAGGGATTTCTGTTCCAGGATAGCAACATCAGCAAAGTCAAGAGTCACAAAACTGAACAGTATTTCAATTAAGGTTTTATGAATGTCTCTCCAGTAAGTACTTACTTTAGGACACCCCCAGAACACATGGTAATGATTGGCTTCTTCCGAGCAACATTCCACATTTTAAACACAATGTTGGTTAAAAAAAAAAAAAAGTAAAAATAGGAATTGAGGACTGTTTTCTTTGCAGAAGTCAGGTAAACACTACAATAAAACTGCAACTTCATGCAACTTATTCAAATGATGACGCGATATCCTGAAGTCTGTGACATGTTTTAGTCAAAATGCAACATAAATAAAGTCTGAAAAGCTTTTTGTAACATCTACTTTCGACCTATCTACAATTTTGGATTTTTCTTCATGAATAAAAATTACAAAAAAATACAAATGTTATTATGGAGTTGGTAATTACTTCACACATACTAACAGGCACAGAAAAAAGGATTTGACATAGAATATTATTTTTTAAATTGTGCAGCAATTAGTACCCAAAACTTAAATATGATAAAGTATTCACGCACATACCTATGAATACAGGAGGAATCCTTAAACAATCCAGGGCTCCAGCTTAAGTAGATGACATCATAGTATTGACAAAGATCCTCCCAAGAAATCCAGAAAACGCCTGGATTTAAACAAAATTAGAAAAAATGAGAATTTCCAATTATTATTATTTTTTATAATTTAAATGACTTCAAGTGTCAATGATAAATGACGCCGTTTCAATTCCCTAAATATACAGGAGTTACATTTCCTTGTCTTGAACTTTTTTGAACCAACAGAAAATGCTCCACATCTTGGGATTTTTTTTTCCCCAACAGCAGCTACAAAAATGACTTGAGTTTTAAACTTAGAATGCCATTTCCTCTGCTTAAAGATAAAATATTGATCCACCGTTATCAAACTTCTGTGCTGTCTTGGGGTCAAAGTTGAGGTATTTGAGGAGCTCAGGAGTCCAGCTTTTCTCGTCGCGCTCGCTGTAGCGTCCCTTCCACCGCAGATGGCTCCACGGATTCTTCAGCTGCAGAAAACGCATTCCCTACAACAAAAATAAACAAGAAGACGGTAAACTTACGTTTTCATGCATAATTTACAGTCACATCAGTAAAGTGACTGACTCTGCACCACTTGCAGTTATCAAGAGTTCAATGCGGGAAAGTACAAAATGTTTTAAAACTGTTGTTCTTTTTTACACTTGGGATGAACAGACGAGCTTCTGACAGCAGAATATTAAACTCATAACTCTGACCTTGTATTCCCTGATGTCAAGAACTGCATAGGCGTGTGTTGGCACTAAACCCCATCTCTCTCCTTCTTCCTCGGTCATCACCCCTGTTGCTGTGGTGATGAGAACGTCGCCCTTGTGAAATCTGAAAACGAAACGTGATGCAAACAGAGAGGCATGATGAAGAAATTCTGAGGAAAGAGGAAGGGCCGAAGTCATTTGCAGCTGAATCTATAAAGTCTGCATGCATATTGTCATGTTGATCACCTCTGAAAGAGCATGCGGAACGTGTCTTCCTTGTTAAAGGACTGATTGTCAGAGTGCATAGCAATGCGCTCGGGGATCCAGCCGGTGAGAGCGTGCAGATCAATATTCTGTGAAAAGAATTGAAGAACAAATAAGTTTTATTGACAACTGTCAGATTTTGATGAAACTGAACTGGTGTGCTGAAAAGAAGTGGCTGGAAAAATTATCTATCCAAACACATGCATGAAATACGTTTCATTTTCAAAATGCTGCACAAATGATCACTTGTTTTTAAATAAATGTCTTTTTCTTTTTCTTTAAAGAGTCAAAATGAGCAGATTTAACACAGCAGGTAGATTTACCACAAGTTACATTCTCAAGTTTGTCCCCATTTACTCACAGAGTTGGAGCCGGGAAAATCATAGCCGCCCATCACTTTCATGTAAGCCTTCTCTATCAGAGACACCCAGAGCTCATTTCTGTTGCTGGAATAGGAGCACAGCAGCTCTCCGTTACGATCCACTGGGAGGTAGTCATCTATAATCACCTACAAGAGAAGTATACTGTTGATTAGATGAACATTGTATGGATAAGTTCAACTGACGTAAACAAATCAAAATTCATTCAACCTTTATTTAGACAGGTTAATCCCATTGAGCCTCGGGGACTCATTTACAAGAGAGACCTGAATTTTTTTTAACAAAGAGCGATGACAACAGTGGACAACAAAGACAACAACAGAAAATCATAAAAGATGCGTACAAATTTATTTATTCATTTATTTAACAAGTTAAAATAAAATGGCAACAAAAAGGACAATCAAAAGGAAAAGTGGCGAAAAAAAACCCAGCTAAAATACGAGGAAGTGTAGAAAACTAAAAACAGGAACATGTCTGCATTGGTTTTTGCCAGGAACTTAACAAATGTTTAATAATATTACTAATTAATTATTAATACTACTAATAACATATGTTGATTTTATTAGCTAGTTGCATTGTCTGTAAATACACTGTGTGGCAAATAAACTAGAGAAGTTCTAGAGAGTTTTAAAGTTTCGTGATGAAAATAAAAGAACAAAAGTGATTTGAACTTCTCAGTCTGTACACACTACTGGATTAAAAGCAATTCTCCCTCTTGGATTCAATTTGCTTTAATATCTTGACTTTATTTTTACAACACTACTTTATATTTTAATTACTTTTTATTGTTGTCTGTACTTGTTGTCCGTCTAAAACAGGTCTCTTTTGAAAACGAGTCCTCATGACTCAATGAAACCACCTGTATAAATAAAGTTTAAATCAAGTTTAAAAATGTGCAGAGACAAATACACTCCTTTTTTCACTTTCAGTGTAAAAAAAATCATATACTGTACTTGAAGTGGAAACAAGAACAATGCTTATTTCCTCAAGCAATACGATGTGAACTCAAACAATGCATGTGACACAACTGACCTTTTTATTTATTTACGCATAAAATCACACACCACGCCCATAAATAGTTTCCAAGCTATTTCTGGCCAGCATGTTTGTAAATTAGTTCGATTGGTACTTTATGCTGTGATAGCGACATAAAATATTCTCAGGTGTCGGGATGACTGCAGAGCACAGCTTAAACTTTGGTAGATATGAAAACGGTTTCAACTAAGTGTATTTCCCATAAACCAGAAGTATCGTATTTTCCACCGTACAAGTCGCTCCGTCCTATAAGTCGCGTCAGTCCATATTTGTGTAATAAAGTGGATAAATCCATAAATATATCGCTTTGCCATATACGTCGCATCTTTTATGTGTCACCGCTGACGCGTCGCATTTGTTACGCGTCACCGCTGGAAATGTGGGACGGTGTTGTGCCAAAAATCGATGGGCTGCCAAATGGCAGCCGCGGGAACGTGCATGGGAGGACTTTAACAAGAATTTAACAAAATTAGCATTTAAAAACAATTGTTTGTTTGCTCGAGATTATAGTAAATGTGTGTCTCAGTCTAACGTTTGCTTAATAAATGCACTTTGACTGTAAAAACAAATGTATTTTAAAAATCGATATGCAGAAGTAAACGCGTGCATGTGTCGAGTTGCTGTGCAAATTTAACAAGATAAACGCTTAAAAACAATTGTTTGTTTGCTCAAGGTTATAGTAAATGTGTGTCTCAGTCTAACGTTTGCTTAATAAATGCACTTTAATGGTCAAATCAGCTGCATTTCAAAAATAGTTTCGCTGCCTCGGTGCTCCGTGAACGTGCTGAGGGAGGAAAAAGGACGAGGAACGCGGTTCGTTTCTTTGAAATTTCACAAGAAAAGCCCCTAAACAATTATTTTTTTTGCTTGAAATTATAGCAAAGGTGTGTCTCAGATTAACGTTTGCGTAAAAAATGCACTTTAATGGTCAACTCAGCTGCATTTCACCTGAGCGGTGCAGCTGGTTTGACAGTTCCAAGCAGCGAGCAGAAGGAAGGTGGGGAGTTATGGCAAGCCGATTATATCATTAAAAGTTGGTGAAGATTCTCAGTCATCCAGGACATGGTAAATTCAAAAAAGTTCAAGAAAAAAACAAAGTATAAAGTATAATAAATAAAGTCCAGTTGTTTTTGTCTTGAACTTTTTTGAATTTGTCTTTATAGCCACTTTTTCCTATTACATGATACAACAGCATGCCATACAGCCATCAAGTGGCTCAAAGTGGTACTGCTTAAAAAATCAGCATGAATGAAAACGGTTATATTTCAGTCAGAAACTGGTTTATACATATGGGGGAAAAAATCCATAAATACGTCGCTTCGGCCTGTAAGTCACAGGGCATGCAAATTACGCAAAAAACTGTGACTTACAGGCTGAATAATACGGTAGGTATGAAACAATCTAAACCCCAAAATTTCATCGCAAAATACTGACTTTGAGCGTGTGCATTATTAACTGGAAAAAGGTCAGTTACAGTCTTTAATCTTTAGTCTGTGTGATTTGTTTTTGCTCGTTTCATGGTGTTTTATCAGTAGAGATGACCCAGTTTAGAAGTCCAACCTTTCTGGGAACTCCATTGATGTGAAGTTTAACCATGTACTTGCCACATGGGTTGTACTCTGGTTCCCCTCGTCTGTTCTGAGGGTAGATTATGCTGTAACACACAAATTCACAAAAAAAGTTTCTGGGTTGAGTTTTTGATCAGTAGTTGTGAATTGGGATGACAAAATAATCCAGCACTCAGCTCATTAAACAGAGAACCTTCTGATTTGTTTTAAACAAGAAGAGGTAAAATGGTAAGTAGTTATGGTTACAAAACACATTAAGTGAAAAGTATCCATGTGCCAGATTTAGAACAAGACAAAAGGAACAAAATATATAAAAGATAATGCCGTACCTGGTGATGAGTTTTTTGTTGTAGCGCCTCTCATAAGCAGCACTTATTGCCAGTGATGCCACAAACGAACAGTCAGAGACTACCGTCTAGATAAACATGGGTAAACACATAAAAACTACATCAACTGTACATAGTAATAAAAATAAAATTTTTCCAAAGTAAGAGTTATTACTATCAGAAAGCTTCCAAACAATGTGAGTGATAAAAACTAACTGCTGAATTTTTATAAAACTGAGATTTTTTTAAAAACCTACCATGAAGGTGCATATTACCAAAAAAAAAAAAAAAAAAAAGAAGGTGCATATCTGTGATGATACTGTGCCATCTACTGGATGCATTTAAGTAGCGCTTGTAAAATATAGAAATATCAGCTCAGGCACAGGAAATCCACTGGAGCGTTACAAATATGCTGAAGAATCATTTCGACTAACTGTACAAACTGAAGCCTTCTTCAAACACCCAACCTTTAAAAACAGAATGTAAAGTAACACCCACCTGTTTGATGCTGAAGCTGGACACAGACATGATCATGGTGGGATTATTGCTAATCTCATCTGGACGAACCCAGCGAGAGAAGATGGCTTTCTGTTTGGGTGATAAAGCAAGTTTCCCCGTTTTGTCCCTGCAAGAAATAAAAAAGAAAATAAATAGTTCAGATATATTCAGTACAGCCAGTAACACATCTGTTAAATATATAAATATTTTTACTTAACATACAGAGCACTTTTTGGTTTTACATATTGGGCACATGAACCATTTTAGTTTGTTCCTCATATCTGTGTACACTGTTACAGATTACATAGTATTTTAATGACTAATAAAGAGATCGATAAAAATAAATAACGGCTTAAACTTACGAGAAAGGTACAGGGAAGGCAAACCGCTCCTTCAGGTCAACATTCATGAAGGGCACATAGGCAATGGTGTTGATTGTAGATGTACTCCTGAAAGGTTTAGTAGACCATAAAAGCTTTAAAATAATAAAATGATTATAGGTGGTAGTTCTGTAAAAACAAGATTTTTGGGGAGCTTATTTATTATGTGGTAACTTGTAAAAACTTAATCGTCTCACCTGAGCACTTCGATCTCCTCTGCTGTGTAGCGCTGGCCCTGGGGCTCACTGGACTGGACTGGCCGGACTGGTTGGGGTTGTTGTCGGTCATGGAGGGTAAAGTCTGGCCCGAGGGGGAAAAACTGTCGAGCAGGTCCTCCTGCACTGGCACCACCACTCGACTTTGCACCAGAAGGTCCCACCCTGTCCTGAGTCTGGGAAGAAGTTAATTTGGACTGGGATTCTTTGAGACCCTCCGCTCTGAAAATGACAGCAATTTTTAAAAATAATATTTAAACGCAAAGTCAACAAAGAGACAAGAAATTTCCCATTTTCTTATAACAACCTGTTAATTTATTATTTTTTTTACTTGTTTTGTTTTATAAACAATTTATGAATTAAATGTAAACATCCATCCATTATCTTTTACCCACTTCTTCCATTTAGGTCATGGGGGTCGCCCATGTCCAGCAATCACTGTGCAAGGGGTGGGGGACACCCTGGACAGGTCGCAAGTCCATCACAGGGACACATAGAGACAAATGAGACAAACAACCATTCACTCTCTCATTCACACCTAGGGACAATTTAGAGTTACCAATCAGTCTAACATGCTTGTTTTTGGTCTGTGGGAGGAAACTGGAGTACCCGGAGAAAACCCACGCATGCACGGAGAGAACATGCAAACTCCACCCAGAAAGGCCCCTGGACCGGGGTTTGAGCCGGGGACCTGCTCGCTGAGAGGCAGCAGCTCTACCAACTGAGCCACCGTGCTGCCCTAAATGTAAACAGTATTACCAAATTATCTTAGCAACATTTCACTTTGTATGAATTTCTTCCTTAAGATTTAAATTTGTAACAAGAAGCATAAAGAAGTATTGAAAATGAAAGTGACACAAATTATATAGAGCTATACAGATAGATTTACATCTTTGGTACCGACACAAAGAAAACACAAAGAGTTCAACTGTCATAGCAGACACTCTGGTTTAACGCAATAACTAACCTTTCCAAAGCTTGTCGAGCCAGCTGCTTCAACTTGGTCTGAAGTGCTTGGTCTGATGTCTCATTTGACTGTTGGAAAAACAAATGGAGAAACATTTGTGAGTAAAAGCCAATGAAAACTTCACCACAGTAAACAGAAAATAAAAAGCTAAGAGAATTACTGTTTTAATGCACAGCTCCACGGCCTGAGTGTACAGTTCAATGGCTTCATCGTCGTTCCCCTTCTCATCTTCCTCAAAGGCCTGGGTAACCAGGAAGTGCGCACGCTCTAGATCTACCTGCTCCCGGGACTTCAGTGGGTCACATTTCTGCGACTTGACTGGGGTCACAGGCAAAAGAAAGCAATGGTTAAACCAGTGAATTAACTTGACTGGTTGGACTGGGGTCCAGTTAAGTACATAATGTAGTGTTGAATGCTTTTATTTTAATAAACTAAAAATAATAAGGTTCATATTCATGCTTATGTTCAGCTGAAATAAAATTTAGGAATCATCAATCATTTGCTAAAAGGTAAAATAATTCACTTTACTCATTTTGAACAACGCAGAACAGTAACACTTCCCATTTGGATTCACCTCATTAAGTTTCCAAGCTGATACTAGGACAGCCTTATTCAGTAGTTTAGAATTTTACTTCTACAAAAGTTTTAATATTATAAAAGGTACTCATTAAAATGTCAAGGAGGTCGGTAAATAAAAATTACAATGTAAGATATAAATGCCACACAACACTTTTTTCATCTATGATAATTTATCCATAACATAAAAATTTGTCAGCAAAGTTGGTGAACGGCTGTGAACCACCACATGTATTTATTTATCTGTGGAAACAGCTCATGGGACTGACAACAGATAAACAACAGAGACATCCATGGATGATCCAAATGGGAATGAGATGTCCGAAAATTTTTGATGTAGGGTACATATTTTAACTCTGATTTGTTGAGTAAAGTATTCAGATAAACTTCCATGTTGTTGAAGGTGAATTCAGCCCACTGCTTTGTTTACAATGAGAGTAAACAAACGCTGAGTGATATGCATTTCATAACTGCATATTTGCTAAACCACTAGAGAGAACACCTTCATATGCCCCAGTCTGATAAAAGTTTAGCATTGCCTTTTTAAATTATTGATTTCAGCTCCTTTAACTTTACAACAAACAGTAAAAACAAATAACTACACACACCATTCAATGATTGTCCAACAAATGAGAAAACTAGCAGCCTGTTGTCTCTCACACCCAAGTAAACACACTCAGGACATGGTAAATACAAAATTAAAAAAATGGCAAATAAAAATCAAAACTACTGAATTCTATTCTGTAGCTGAAAATGGTTAGCTTCTTATCTGGGAAGCTTTCTCACATCAAAACTGGAGTGTGTGGCGTTCAAAGCTTTAATGGAAGCTTCAATTACACCAAAAGTTTCCTGTGTGATAAAATATACAGCTAATGAGAAAACTATATAAACAGCTATGGTAGTTGTAGACCTACCTGCATTGTGAAGGGCCTGGACCCGATCCAAGTACTCATTCACCTTGTCCTGGAGTTCGTCCAGTTTGGATCCTGCCATGCCAGCATATATGAGAGCCTGGGCTGCCTCCTGAAACATGTCGCCTAAGAGTTGGTTATTTAAATAAACAAAAAACATTCAGAGTGGCATCACCGATATCATTACTGTTATTGTAAGCTAGGAATGGCCAATTGAAACATTTAATGAATTCTTAAGTACATAAGAATTTATTTTAAGAATTTTACAAGAGTACATATCAGTTTCAACTTCACAGTGTAAGGTAAGCTAAATGCTAACTTGTAGCAGCAGTTAACTTGATGCATTTCTTCGTGACATACATACCTTATAATAAAACACCGCCTCATTATATTTGGCATTTTGGTCATAGGTTACAGCTATTTTGGCAAATTTGACAGCATCGTGTTCCAGCGCCGTACAGTCCATTCTGAACGAAACTTGTCAATGTGACAGGGTGCCCGTTAGCCAGCAAACTGGACGGCTAACAGTAGTTATCGTCATTCACCAAACTAGCAAATTGTCTGTCTTCATTCAACGTCAAGTTTATTTTATCACCTCGGACAATGCATAGCGAAGGTAATTCTGAGCAGCGACTTCAGCTCAGTAGCTGAAAATGTCCACCCGGATAAAAGTTTTCCCTCTTTTCATTAAGATAAATGACAACTACATTAGCCACCATCAAAACAACCGAGTAATTTCCGGGAAACACTTTTCGCGCAGTCGCAGTAAAGGACCCGGGCCCAGGAATTTGCTGCTGCGTTCAAATACAGTCAAACAAAATGCCATCTCAGCTTTCTTCAATAGTGTAAAAAAAAAAAATACTGT